TATATATATATTTATGTATGGTCTTATCTGTTTTTTCAAGAATTTTATCATGAAGTGGTGTTGGATTTTGTAATAGCCTTTTCTACACCTATGGATATGATTATATGATTTTTGACCCTGTTTCTTTTCACATGATGTATTACATTTACTGACATATGTGACCTATGCCATCCTTGGATCTAAGGGATAAAACCTACATGATCATGATGTATCATCTTTTGATAATGTGCTTCATTTTATTTGCTAATATCTTGCCGAGGATTTTTGCATCTATGTTTTTTTAAAGAAGATTGTCCTAATATTCTTTTGTGATTGGATCTTTATCCAATTTGGGTGTTGGATGATAGTAAATTCCATAAATGAATTTGGGGGCACTCTATCCCTCTGAATTTATTTGAAGATCTTAATGTATAGTATTGATATGCCATCCTTACAAATTTATGTTTTGGATAGAGGTTTATCTATTTTTTTTTCAAATAACCAGGGTTTTTTTCTTGATTACTTCATTTTAGTCTCAATTGCATTGATTTCCATTATCATCATTATAATTTTTGTTCATAATATCAGTGTGGACCTCATTTGTTGTTGTTTCTCAAGACATCATAATGTCTGTTTAATCTTGCTCTGTTTTCCTAATGTGAGAATTGATTGTGATGAATTTTACTCTTAGAAGTACATTCCTAGTATCCCAGAGATTATGATGAGTCAGTGTCATTAACTTCTGAAAATATTTTGCTTTTTTCTTTGATTTCTTCTGTGACCCTTTGATTCTTTTGGAAAATTTTCTAAATTTTTAAAAAGATTTTGCTTTTTTCTGAAATTTCATCTATTCTTGACTTCCAAATTTATTACAGAGTGGTCTAATAGTAAGTTTTATTCTTCTACATATACTCAATCAGGCTTTGTGGATAAGTATGTGATCTACTTTTGTGGATAAGTATGTGATCTAATTTTAAAAAAGTCTAGGTGCTGCTGAAAATGTTATAGGGCAGGTTACTACTCTGCATTTATTACATCCATAACTTCAGAGATGTGACTCAGCCATGAAATTTCATCTATAGCTTTGTTTTGTTTGCTTAGTTGGTATATCTATTTGTGAAAATGGGGTGTTAAAATTCTCTGCTATTATTGAGTTAGTTTTACTTGATCTTTTAGTAGCAGATTTGTTGCATAAAGGTATGTGCTCTAGTATTTGGTTCATATATGTTTATTAATATTAATTATCTTTTCTGGTTGTGTTATTCAGTTAACTATTATACAGACACCTTTTTTGTCTCTTCTAACTGGTTTTAACCTGAAAAATTCTAATACCATTCCTGATATTGGAATAGCTGCCCCTGCTTATTTTTAGGATCCTGGTTCATGGAATGTTGTTGTCCATCCTTTAAATTTTATTCTATGAATATCTTTCTGCATTAGGTGAATTTTTGAAAGCAACTTATATTGGATTCTGTTTTTGTTTTAGTCTTCCAATTTGCCAGTCTGTGTATTTTAGTTGGAGACTTGAGGTCATTGCCATTGAGAGATGTTACTGAAATTTGTTGGTTTATTGGTCATCATCACCTTCTTTTCCTGTTGGTGTCTCCTTTGTTTCCATTTCCTATATTTTTTGTTTTTCATCTATTGCTCTCATTAATTTCCTCTGTATTTTAACTATGTTGAATACAGTGCTAAAATTTAGATGAAACTATTTTTAAGTATTATCTCAAGAGTTGGATTAGTACTCATATCTTCTTAGATGACTTTTCATCGAAATACCTCATTTCTTCAAGGTTTTGAAGGATAGGCTTCCTGGATAAGTTAATTTTGAATAGGAGTTATTTACTCTTAGAGCTTGAAATGTATCACTTCAAGCTCTTCTGGTTTTCAGGGTTTTTGCTTATAAATCTGCTGTGATTCTAATTGGTTTACCTTTATACGTGGTTTATTTTATTTCTCTGTCTGCCTTTGTAATTTATGTTTTTACTGGTTATAGTGAATTTATAATTATATGACTTGCTAATCATGTCCTTTCATCCTAATTGTTTGGTGTTCTATAAATATTGCTTATTGATTTCTTCAAACTTCTTTTTGCATTTGTGACATTTTCTTTAGTAATTTCTGTGATTATGTTAGTAAATCTATCTGTGCTATTTTCTAGTTTTTTTCTAACTCTGACTAGCCTTAGATTGGTCTTCTCATTTTCATCACTTAACTGCTATCTACTATTCTCTTGTTCTCTTGTTTTCTTTTTGGTTTCTTTGAGCTCTTACTGTAGTTCTGTATTTTTCCTTCAATATTAGATACCCTGTCTTCCCCTTGTTCATTTCTACAATACATGAATTCCACACATTTTTTTAATTTTAGGTATTTCTGTCTGCCATCCTCTTGAGGATGCCACATCCTGAACTGTTTTGGTTAATTTTCCAGATTTATTTACCTATTTCTCCCAAATTCACCATAGTCATATTGAGTGAATTTGATGTGAACTGTTGCTTCATTTCCTCTTTGAACTCAACTATTTACTTCATATTTTCTAAGAACTTATCATAGATTTTTACTACCTAATATTTGTTTTCTTCTCCCTTTCTGAACACTTTCTCTGCCTTGGAAGAGTTGTAAGGGTTTAGAGATTTGTTTCCTTGTTTCTTCATTGTCTTGTGTATATGTGTGTTTACTTATTACCACAATCCATTTTTCACGCCCTTCTTTAGGCATTCCTGCAGGTTAGAAATGAGAAAACAGGAGAATTGGAAACATCAGGCAGAAAACAATAGCAACTGAATAAACACAAGAAACCATAAAGGAATACAGCCCAAATAATTTAGTAATTATTTATTACTAAATAATTAAGAAGCATACAAAACTTAAACAAATAAGATGTTTAGTAGGAACACAGATTCAGTATTCCAATGAGACATTGCATATGTGCTTCCTAAGTAACTTCTCTGCCAGACAGCCTGAATGCTCACCCCTTTACCGATCCCTCCACCACAATACAGAAGCTGATGCATAATCAGGACTGCCTTCTGTCAGTCTGAAGGCATTCTGCAGAGGCTGCTTCAGTCTGAGTTCTTGGGTTGGAAGACTTGCTATCACTCTTTCTGGAGATCATAATGTATTAGGCAGAGATGTTCATTGCCACTAAATTGTCCATGGTGTCACAGTTATTCCTATGCAAACAGTTCAGCTACAGTAGTAACAAGCTGATTTGCTGTATTGGCATTAATCAGGGTTTTTGAGAAATGACACACCATTAAAACCTCTTTTTGGTCTCATTTTACCCTACAGAAGAGATATATATTTATAGTGTAAGCATTATAACAGCTCAAAGTTTTACCCACAGTTAACGTGCACTAAATATGATATCTGTGTTTCCAGTTACTGGTGAAAAACAGCATCCAACAGTAATTTTCATTAAATCACTTATAATGATACTTACCTGGCAGGGGGAGATACCATGATCACAAAGGTGGTTTTCCCCAGGCGAGGCTGATACATTGCACTCCATATGTGCTGACACCTTCGATTGCCCCAAATGTGGAAAACTCGACTGCATAATTTGTGGTAATGAGGAACTGCGTTCTCACTCTGCCCTTTTAAAGAAAGGAAAGAGAGAAAAGAGAAAAAATAGGAAAAAAGGAAGGAGTGAAAAACATGAAAGTATATATACAGGATAGTTGAGATGACTGTATTCATAATTTTATCAGATTTTTGAAAACAAAAGTTAATGTTTAGAATTTTCACCTTGACTAACTCAGTATGCTGATGTCTACAGTCTGAGCAACTACACTGAGGGCAGCAAGATGTAATACAAAACCCATTGTTGAATGCCTCTCATCTTGGTCTTCTAAATGTGTATATTCTTCCTAATTCCTTATCAGTTATTATGCTCTCTTTAAAATAAATTAAAGTAAGAAAAGACAAGGAAAAACACATAAGATTTCTTGAAAACAAACACCAATATCCAATCATTTCCCCAATGTTGCATAACTATACCTGTTAATCTGAGCAATATATTTGAGGATAAAAAGTACATAATAGGGGGCATCCGAGATGCACACACACTTCTCAGAGGAAGAAATTAAAGAAGCGAATAAGTATATGAAAAAATGCTCCACATCCCTAGCCATCTGCTACATGCAAATTAAAACAATATTGAGATTGAAAATAGATTGATAGCCCAGAAAGAATGGCTATCATAAAGAAATCACCCAACAACAGATGTTGGAGAGGCTGTGAGGAAAAAGGAACCCTTCTCCACTGCTGGTGGGAATGTAGATTGGTGCAACCATTATGGAAATCAGTGTGGAGACTCCTTAGAAAAGTTGAACTGGAAATTCCCTTTAAACCAGCTATTCCTCTACTGGGAATTTTCCCAGAGGATCTGAAAACATCATATCACAGTGATATATGTGTGCCTATGTTTATAGCAGAACAATTTGTGCTAGCCAAATCTTGGAAACAACCAAGATGCCCATCACCTGAGGAATGGTTGAGAAAGATGTGGTATTTTTACACAATGGAGTATTATTCAGCTATTAAGAATGATAAACTGCAAGCCTTTATATTGAAGTGGATGCCACTTGAACATATACTGATAAGTGAAATAAACCAGACACACATGTGTAAATATCGTATAGTCTCCCTAGTATAAGAACTCAAAAGAAGAAATACAAATAGAAAGGCATAATACAAGTAAAGGGAAAGCAGGATCTCAAGGACTAACTAATCAAGAGAGGGAAAGAAGAGATAAGAAACATGAATAAGTCAAGCCATGCAGTATATGTAGAAGATGAGCAAGGCAATGTTCCTGAGAATCTTCAGAACATTTTTTAATCTAGCAGAAAATTGGAAAGATCCTCATCCTGATGAACTATATATACTTATACCTGTTAACTGAGCAACTGCACTGCAGATGGTAATTTGTAATAGTAGTTTCATGCTTGGAGTGCCTGTCACTCTGGTCTTCTGAATATGGGCTGCTTGTCATGACATGTCAGTTGCTGCTATGATTTCTCTTGGGTAGGTGGTTGTTCAAGAAGAAAGGGGTGGTGAATGAAAGCAAGAGACAGGAAAAGGAATATTGTGGGACTATCTTGCTTCAAGGTTGTATATGGTGAGATTTTTGGACTTATGTGTAAACATAAGAAGTATATAATTCTTTATGCCTATTTTAAAAATATATTCAAATTTTTTTAATGCTTTTTTATCATATTCTGTAGGGACTTAAAGTTCAACATATCAATACTTGATGAAAAATACCTATTCCATATTATGCCTAAGATGTTTGATATGCAGACAGATAGTGAGGTTAAGCTTGACAGCCTAAGTTGTATGGTAATAACAATAAGCTTATCTTCTGGATGGTTAACAACCTAAGTTTGCAGACCAAAATTTGAGAGAAAGGAGGGCTGCTGGGGCCAGGGAGATGGCTCAGTGGAATAAGCGCTTCCCAGGCAAGCGCAAGGATCTGAGTTCAATCCCCAGTTCCACAAAAAAAAAAAAAAAAAAAAAAAAAAAAAAAAAAAAAAAAAAAGAAAAGAAAAAAAAATCAAGAAAGTGTGATCTAGGAACTATAAAAGGCAAACCACTTACTTATTTTAAAAGAATAGGAAATCAACTTGGCTTCAGTTTTCCACAACAAAATTAACACGAGAAGAGGGGGCAATACTTGCTAATCAGAAGAGAAAGGAGAAGCCCTGCCTCGTCTTTCTTCTCACAAGGCATCTATCAACTGCAGGCCCTGCCTCTGGCAACACCTATAAATTGAGGGACCTCTGACTACAAGGCCTTCCAGCACAATACACCACAAGACAAATGTCCATCTCTGGTCCCGAGGAGCTGA